GATTACATACTATGAATCCAAGTGAACACACAATATAAAAAAATACGAATCATTCTATATGAAGAATTTAGATGAAGAATGAAGATGACGACGTGCTTTCAAGATGTAAACCTAATATAAATTTGGTATTAAAAAATAATAATAATTTTTTTATTTAAAAAATACCGGGTACTCGGCGGGTAACGGTTCCGAAAAATTGAGAACCGGAACCGGAACCATTCTCAATCGGTTCCGTATTTTAAGAACCGGAACCAGAACCACTCATATCGGTTCCGGGTCCGGAACATGCGGTTCCAAGGCGGTTCCGGTTCCATAGTCGGGTACCCGGTTTCGCTGCTCACCCCTAAAACTGAGGTAGAAGTTCGATTGAGGAAGTGAGGGGAGAGGACTCACTGTCAATTAGGAAATTATGTTAGATTTAGTTAAAACTTAAAAGGAAAAATATAATCTATTAACTAAAATATTAGGTTTCGAGTGTTGGATTTAATCTGGTTTTAGAGTCGGACTTTTTGTAGTTTTTCAGTCGGGTTGGATCGCGTATTTCAGGTATTGGTCACCCCTGTACAACACATTGTACAAATTTTGAGTATGCAAAAGTTTATGATTGTAATTTTGTATTTTAAAACTAAACCAAACAAACCAACCTAATATATTTCAGTTGTATGACGACATTTGTCCGTATGTCATACTTTATAAATTCACATGTGAATGTCACAAAAAATGTCTAAATTTCAAAAATATAGAGAAGATCACAACCGGTTCAATTTCATTTTATTTGCAAAACGTTTGAAAATACATAAAAGATATATTACTCGTCTGAATGAAAAATAAAATATTATTTTTAATAATTAATAGATTATTCATACTTTATGAAGAGTTGTCCATTCTCATTTTGCTACTTTTTTTATACATTTTATTTAATTAAAAAATTATTATATTTAAATTAATGTAGACTTAAAAAGAAGCAAATTTATTGTAATTCAAACGAAAATGAACAATACAAATTATTCTGATACCCATACGAAATAAAAAGTGACAATTGAATCATAATAATGAGATCGTACGGATGGACGCGTCACCAATAAATATCCCATAACATGAAAACCACAAACTTTTCTATCTTTAAAAAGATACAGATAATCTAACAAACGTAAAGAAAAAAGCATCTTCAGTATGTGATAATAATATGTGAGACGTTACATCCAACCACTTTTCATTTTCTTGGGGCCCACCGCTGGTGGACATTACTCGGAGGCGGACTTTTTCACTGTAAATAACTCTTGAATTTGATAGTAATTAATTAGGTTAGAAAAAAAGTAGCTGCTACGTGTTAAAGTATTCCAATATATATGTACGTCACATGGTCTTGAAATATATAGAAAAACTATAAGTACTTTTATATCTGGATATGTAGATTTGGAGGTCGAGCAAGTGTTTACGCAAATGCATCAATGAATTTTGGGTTAAATAAGTATATTTTCGTATTAATATCGATAAAAAAAAACGACATAGAAATGGGGTAAATTTATTTTTATTTTATTTTTATATAATTTTTTTATTTTTAATGAGACTAAAAAAGGTATAATGATTAGTCAAAAAAGTATAGGAGGAAAAAAGAAATTATTGCAAAGGGTGTGGTTGTGTGTTGTGATATGGCAAAAGTTTGATATTTTTATCAAAAAGAAATTATGGATTTTTTCTAGGTGGTCCTTGGATTTATTTTTTTCCTTTCCAAAACCACGTTTGTTTATATATATATATAGGCTCCTTCAAGAGAGAACTGATTAGTTTGTTTTAATTGTGAGATCCAATCTCAACCACAAATCAACGGATAAATTAGAAAATTAATAATTATGGTAATTTGAGTTAAAATTATAATCAGAGGATTTTTTCGGTATTTTTAAAAAACTCCTCTCTCCGACCTCCAATCTTCGGCCTCCAATGAACATTAATCCGACAGGTACCAATGTAATCACAAAGATACACAATATGATACCCATTGTGATATAATGTGATACCAACTATGATACCAACTCAAACCTTAAAAACAAAGATACACAATGTGATACTCATTATGATATACTGTGATACCGACTTCACCGGAGGCTGGAGATTGGAGGTCGGAGAGATGAGAGAGGAGAAAATTTTTTTTTAAGATACCTAATATGCCTTCTAATTATAATTTTAACTCAAACTACCATAATTATTAATTTCCTAATTTATCCGTTGATTTATGGTTGAGATTGGATCTCACAGTTACCACAAACTAATCAGTTCTCCCTTGAATGAGCCCCATTATATATATATATATATATATATATATATATATAGGGGCCTAATCAAATGAGAACTGATTAGTTTGTGGTAACTGTGAGGTCCAATTTCAACTACAAATCAACGGATRAATTAGGAAATTAATAATTATGGTAGTTTGAGTTAAAATTATAATTAGAGAGCATATTAGGTATTTTAAAAAAAAACTCTTCTCTCCTCTCTCATCTCTCATCTCTCCGACATCCAATCTCCGGCCTCCGGTTAATCTAGCAGGTACCAAATAATCACAAAGATACACAATGTGATACTCATTGTGATATATTGTAATACCATTGTGATACCAACTCAAACCTTAAAAACAAAGATTCACAATGTGATACCCATTGTGATATACTGTGATACCGATTTCACCGGAGGCCGAAGATTGGAGGTCAGGGAGAGGAAAGAGAAGATAGAAGAGAGGAGTTTAAAAAAAAATACCTAATATACCCTCTAATTATAATTTTAACTCAAACTACCATAATTATTAATTTCCTAATTTATCCATTGATTTGTGGTTGAGATTGGACCTCACAGTTACCACAAACTAATCAGTTCTCATTTGATTAGGCCTCTATATAAAATTTAGGATCATGTGAGACAAACCTGTTTTCATGAGACCCGTAAGACCACTTCTTTACACTCGAAACATCATAACAAAACATTATGAATGTAACATTCACTGTGTTTTTGTTGTGAATGTTCGACTTTTTTTACTTTCACAACATTTTGCTCTTGCCACCGTCCTCCATTGATACCTAAAAACATTGACTCTGTTAAACAAAAGACACAGTGTTATACCCAAACACATATAATATGCATTGTAAATTTGTGATACCACTGTGTTACATCTTCGATCAACCACACAAACGACCTCAGTGTGATACCCAAGCATATATAAGATGCATTGTGATACCACTGTGGTATCACCGGAGGACGGAAGCCAGGGCACGGAGAAAGGAGAGAAAATACCTAAAATGTCCTTGCATTAAAATTTTAATTCAAAATTATCATAATTATTAATTTTCTAATTTATCTATTGATTTATAGTTGAGATTGAACCTCACAATTAACACAAACTAATTAGTTATCATATATATATATATATATACATACATATATATATAGGTTGGTTATTATACAACCCTTGACATTTGTGCAACCAATACAACCCAATCTCAACCGTCCATTTCATTTGATTAATATGTGATTTTATAGAA